GTAAGCATTACGGCAATGCGCGAAACAACAAGAAAGCCACATTCAGTACTTGGGCGACCGCGCAGAGCTTGGCAGGCCAAATGTGTCGACGAGACATCACGCTTACACCAAAGACCATGGTATAGAAGGCGAGGAGCTGCGGTCTTGCACCCGCTGCGCAGATAGCTTCGGAGCTCGACGCGTTAGCAAGTACTGCAGGGCAATTCGCGACGCGTCGAAAGCAGCACCACCTAATGAACAGGTCTCCAGCCTACATCAAGATGAATACATGCAAAGTAGGTGACCTGACGTGAACGTGGGCTCTTGGGTGTTCAGTCCCTTGCTCACAAATGATGGAGCTCTGTTAACGTTGTCAGACATCTTCCTCAATCCAATGCGCAAGGCACTGGAATCAATGAAAATGTAAAGCCGCAGTGGCAGACCAGCAAAAATTGCCCCGCTGAAGCCCCCGAAGGAGATTCATGACAACACCACACCCCGCTGTGCAATGGAGGCGACGTTGTCAGACCATCAAATGCTTGAGCTTGATGAGTCGCAAGAAGGTCTAGAGATTGTTAGCAGGTGTAAACGTAGGGGGGTGGTTGGGGAATACGAACAAGTATTCAGAGCTTGGGAGGGATGGGGGCGGCGCGGTATAAGTAGCCAGATGGTCTTGGCACGCTAGTGGGTCACATGACGAGCAAGGGCGGTCCAGAGGCCAGTGCGCAAGGTGACTGCGGGTAAAGTCCGGCAGTGAGATGACCGGCCAGGTCCATGCGCCCGCCTGAGTGATGCTTCCCCATCAACTCACATCTTTCGACATGACAATGCGTAAACGCTGCACATGCCAGTTAGTGCACTTTCGCATATGCGCTGAGGATCTGCAAAGACGCTTGGGTTCGACGACTAGTGCCAACCGAGCAGAGCCGCGCGGTTTCGTTATCGCGGAAAGTTTCCAAGCGCCGCGACGCATTTAGCTCGTTGCCTGGAGATCACACTACCCGGGCGCCTACAACCTAACATCTACCACAGGGTGGAACATTGTCACCATCCCAGGCAAACACTGGGTCGATGGCTCTACTTCGCTTGAGCAAACTCTTTACGATGCGCTTCCGGTCAGTCTACATGTGCAACATCATCATCTACTCCGTCGCCCTAATCTCCTATCCAGTTCCTTCATTTTCCAATCCTCTTATCATTCAGTTGTTGCTGAAGAATACCACAACCATGCAAATGCTCGTACATTGCCCAGCCATACCTGAGCTCCGCCTTCTCGTAGAGGTAATCATAGTCGAGCATGCGTATATTGCAAGCCTCGTTGGGCGCCCGTCGGTCTCTGTAGTTTTCAACCTCCTTTCTATCCAGAAACCTTTCCCAGAGAAGTAGTGTCGTGTTCGGATTTGCGTTGAATAAACGTACGGCTGGCTCTGTCGGCGAACCAGGTTCGCAGACTAAAGGCCGCGTCTCCTGTACCAAGGCCGTAAGGTTGATAAGATGGTATTCGGATAGCTTGAAACCGATTTCCCGCCGGATATTGTCCATCATAGGACCACCAAAATTCCCTGAAGCGTCGAAGACTCCTTTTGGGAACTCAAGGTACGGTTCATTGCGCGCGCGAGCTTGGGGTGACTCTATGAGAAGGACGTAGCGCTCGATAGAGTTGTCTTTTGGACGAAGTACTATCATCACGTTGGCGTTTACCGCGGTTCTGCCAACTGTAGGCGGGGGTTTGGCTGGCATAGTGTCGAAGGCTCCTCTATTAGCGGGTAATCCGAGGTCTTCTAGGGAGAAAGCGAGAGTGTGTGACGTGCAAGTAGTGCGTCCGAGACGTTCAAAGATTATGGGAGGACCGAAAAACCGAGCTTCGCTGACGATCAGGAAGCAATGGAGCGACTGGAGTAATGTAAATATGAGATACTTTGGAGTGGTGGACGGTGATGAAGGCGTCAAATGGAACACGTACTTATACCTTGATCTCAAGTAGCCATACTTAGGTATGATGCTTTGTTAGCGCTATTCCGACATTCGTTCAAGAAGACTCTCAGTATAGCGTTTAATGTCTTAGTGCATATCTCCCCACTTATAACTGGGTACACCAATGGGTTGAGGTTCTGATGCGCGCGCAACTTTATTTGGATGATTCGATGCTTCCCCACCTGCCGCTCGTCTCGAAACCATGCGCGGCGCTTACGAGATGACCTTGAGATAAGCACATGCATGGCGGCAAGAACCCGCTCAGTGGGTATGTGTATGTCCAGGGCTTTGGTATACAACTGTTATTGCCACACTGGCTACATATCGTTCACATGAAATAAGGATACACCCAAACCTTTCGGAGGTCAATACAGGTGAGCACTCATTGCTGAGTCCGACCGATGCGAATTTGCTTCTGTCGCTCTTCAATCTGTTCGGTTTTGCCCAGTCGATCGTATAGCGCCCAAGCTGCGAGCGTCTTAGCATCTCTCGCGCCTTCTTTCCAAAGCACCTCGAAATTGCGGATGCGCAAAGTGATCAACTTGTCTCTGACACCCTCGCCACCCAACTTGCTCCTGAAAGATTCGAGTTCCTTTCGGTCCAGGTATTTCTCCCACAATAGCATCGGCATATACTCGTCGAGGTTTCCAGGGCTCATGTACACCCCGTTCTTTAGCTGTTCGTTGGTTTCAGCCTTGTCAAGAGCCATTGCGGTCAGGTCGATCAGCTCCTCTGCCCTGACATTAAGCCCCGTCTCTGCGCGAATCTGCTCCATTGCTTTTCCAACTACAGTGCCAGACTTGTTATCTAGCATTCCTGCAGGGATCTCGAGGAAAGCAGTGCTGCATGCGCCGATTCGCGGCTGCTCTGTCAAGATGACCCACTTCTCGTCTACGTTGTCCTTGGGTCGTAGTATCATAAGGATAGCGACGGTACCGCCGCGCAAGAAAATGACTCGGTCGAGATTGGTGTGGCTCTTCTTCATCAATGCCTCGATCGTCATGAAGCCTATCATTCCGTCGTCAAAGACGGTGACGTTGTGTACATTCACGCCCTCGAGGCGCCATGGATCCCCCTCAAACGTGTGTCCGGGAGTTGTTTGCACAGTGAGATTCTTTTGGAGTGCTTCCAACCAGTTACTGAACGCTGGAAATCCGAGCAGCTTCTCTTCGTCGAGAATGTGGCCATCTGCAACTGTGACAGGAATGGCAGGCTCCCAGGCTGACAGCAGGAAAGTGGATGGCATCCCGAAGTCTTCGGCTAGTACTTGAGATAGCTTTGGAAGCAGAGCGATATAATTACAGGATCCCTGTGATAGCTTTTGCCCTAGTAGCGGACGATTTCAAGCTGTTTTGTTGAGTCCCGGGGCCGTCTTGTACAAGATAAGGCTGGAAGTGATGGTGGATGCGCTGTGAACCTTGGAAAGCTCCCCGAGGTCGTTTCGGGCGCAGCAACAAGCTTACATACCTATCTTACAGCGATCGGGATGTCGCATAACCTTCATGCATGTGATAAGAATAATCACGCACATTGCAGGTGGTACAGGAAACAAGGTCACGCAGTTCTGCGCGCCAACCTCCCGAGGTCTCCTAGGCCTACAACCACCCCCCAGCAACTGAGCAGCTACCTAGCTAGCGATCTCTCATGAGCTAGCGATCAGTCTACCTATATTTTGCATGAGGAATTATGGCAACTCTCAAACGTATTGTTGCAGCGTATACCGCTGGTGCGCAGCAGTGACGACCGTGGCTGAGATGCTGCGGGGTAAAACTATGGGATGAATGCACGGCGGCTGCCTTGAAGGAGGTCTGCATTCAGCTGGGCAGGGGTACACCCAACCCCCGATTACTGCGCTCCTGTGTGACCCTTCCAAGATTATATCCCGCATGTTCCCCTTAAATGCCCAGGTATCCAGTCAGCATTTCTCAAGAATCGCATCAAACCTCGTCGCCTCGCCTCGCCACTAGCGCGTCATTCCTTTAGTCCAAGCCAAAGTAGCAGCCCTTAGGCTAAGCGCGCAATACTCAGCCTTGCGTCCAACAAATAGCACCAGAGCTCGCTCAGCCTTGTCTTCAAAAGATGATATGTAACGTGTGTTTAGCTATGCTGAGGGGTGGAAGGGGAGCGAGGTCAGGGACTCACGATCTGACGTTTGATCATCACAAAACTACAACATCACTTCGAAGATCAAAAGAGGTAGACTGCAAGATATGTACGTCGTTAGGAAATGCGATCTGGCGCGACGTGAATCTGCTCGAGGATCAGTCGATCTCGATCACGGCTGTGCTTAAACCTCTGCCGAGTGGGTTTTCATTGGACTTCGACATCAACCAAAGGTTCAAGCGTGCGTATCTGCTGAAAGCAATTGGTATGTTTGACTATTCAATGGGGTCGAAATGTATTAAATTCTCTTCACAGACCCCAATGAGCGCCGTCTACGAACCTTGACGTCGTCAGAATCTTCTTCCGATGAAGTCATCCAATTGGCGCATAGTTGGATGAACGAGTGTAGATGTGCAGACAGTTGGGAGTGCACCGGGGAAAGATGGTATCCGAAGCGCTTATTAGACCTCGGCGATATCCGAGGCATACGCGGCATCGGTGATCGAGACAGTCTAACAGTCCTGTCAGAATATAGCCATGTACAACGAGCAAAAGTGTATCTGGTCGAGACGGACGATGTCTTCATGCCAAGCCGATATGTACCAAGCAAGTTGACAGTCAAGTCCTGGAACAGCGATAGAACAAAGATGGGCCGTATTGAAAGAGAAGATGGTCGGTATGTTACGCTGAGCCATTGCTGGGGCAGGCCCAAAGGTGTCCAAGGACAGCTTAAATTGAAAGTAACAAACAGAGAGCGTTTCATACGGGAGGGTATCGAGTTGCGGGAGCTGCCGAAAAGTTTTCGAGACGCGATCTTGTTCGCTTGTCATCTGGAGAAAGTCGGGTTCATTTGGATTGACTCGATGTGCATCATGCAGTCGACTGAAGATCATAACAGCCGATCTATGGTTCATGTGGGTGACTGGCTGAGTCAGAGTCGACAAATGGACAAGATCTACCAAGGATCCTTTCTCAACATCTCCGCTACTGCTGCGGTTGATGGAGATCAGGGGTTGTTCTTCGGCCGACAGCCTGAGTCCCTTTGGGAGAACGAGATCAACGTCAACCATACTGGAATGGCTCCTTTCGGAAAACATAGTACTGGAGGCTCGAAAAGGGAACAGTTGACGAGGTGCGCTCTCATCGACGTGTCCTTCTGGGACGATCTCGTTGAGAGCGCAGCTGTTAACCGTAGAGGTTGGGTTCTGCAGGAACGTCTCATGGCACCACGTGTATTACATTTCTGTCGCGACCAGATTGCCTGGGAGTGCTCTCACTTCGATGATGCCGAGGGTTATCCTGGAATGGCTATAGGACTGAGGTCCAAGCTGGGAGCTACAGTAGACGAAGGAAGGCTCAAAGACTTAACTCCAGAGGCTGGGCGGGCACTACGAAGCAATCGCCTGAATGATCTTCCAGACCCTGATGAAGGCATGGTAGATCTGTACATCTACGAATTGTGGAAACACATTGTAGAGGTGTACTCCAAAACGCAAATCACAGTATCGCGCGACAAACTCATAGGGTAAAGTAGCCGCCACGAATAATGTATAAGACATGTTGCTAACTTCCTACTAGTATGTGTCTCTCTTACTAAGCTTTAGCGGCGCAGCGATTAAGGTTGTTCTAAGACATGTCACTGTTCGTGCTAACAGCTTCATAGCGCTGTCTGGAATTGCGAGGCGCTTCTGTAGTGAACAGAAGCTATTCACAGTACCGAGCACGTATATTGCAGGCCTCTGGAGAAACAATCTGGAAAGTCAGCTTCTTTGGCAAGTGAACGAGCTTTATCGGGATGGTGTGTTCGAGAACCCTGGACGACGCGACGCAACTCGAGCGCCTTCATTTTCATGGGCATCCATCGATACCCCCCACGGAATCACCTATCCCGATATCACAGACTACGGGGCTGCAAGAGCAAACGAAATGCGTGACCGGGATCAGGGCGAAAGGGAAGACTCGTATCCAGAGGAAGAGCTAATGCTCGAAGTACTTGACCATCATATCATCCTCTCGGACGAGGACAATGAGTATGGCATGGTAGAACAGGCAAGATTATTGCTCAAACCACGCTATCTTAGGGCTATTAATCTCCGGAAGCTTCACCCGCTGTTCCGAGTCGGGTACAGCTGGGGACTGGAGCAAGATGAAATCAAGCCTGACATGTCGCAACAAGGTTCCAAAAGGTCTGCGCATCATCTCGAACACGCCAATCTCTATCTGGACGCCCCGGAATCTGACGTCGATATCTTCCGCGATGATGCAAAACTATACTGCATGCCCGTTGCGTATGGTGAGCGGACAGTACGGAAAGCATTTCGTTATTTGTACTGCTTGTTGCTCAAGTACGAAGGGGCGACAGATTTTGGTTCCAAGGGCGGTGATCCAGGCGTGAAAGGGCATCTGTCGATGACAATACAGTATCCCATGTTTAGGCGAATTGGCATAACAAAGTTGTCTAACCATCTGGACGAAAAGGGCCAAGAGGCTTTGATGTCGGAGGAATACAACCAAACAATTGCTTTGTGTTGAATGACCTTGTGAGGGAGCGAGGGGTTGTTCTGGTATTTTGGAAGTTTCTAGTCTCTTTTAATAATTACGAGTAATGATTTCGTAAGTAAACAAAGGTCTAATAGTTAGAGATATGCGATGGCTATGGTATTCCAGGCCTGGTCTCAATCTTACCCCACCTTCCAATATCTGCCCCTCATCCCCACCTCGACCGTGGGCTCGCTCCCGCCCACGATTACTCACGCCGGTTGTCGGTATACAAAGCCTTCCAACGTAATGACAATATATACATTACCGTTGCGAAATTACCCATCGATTACCTAATACGGGCGCTTGGGTAAGCTGCCACAACATCCCAATCACCCTCTACAATCTTCTAACATCCCAAAGTCTAGGGGTATGATTTGTAAGACACCTCCCAACACACCTCTTCTCAGCTCCTCTTCTAACATTCAACTTCAGTCGCTTCGCATTCTTCTGCGTACTTGTGAAAGGTCGTGGGTTCAATTCCCACAGCGTCCACATTCTTTTTGCCATTTTCTTTGCTTCCGCCGGAGAAAGGAAGGAGCACCAGGGGTGAGTGTTCCTCACTGTGGTTCACAGCTTTGTTTTTTCGTCTTTCGCTCGCTATGCTTTCGTTCTTCTCGTCACGCGTAACAAGAACACATGGCGTGTAGGTGACATTGCTTCTTGCTACCCCTTGACCGTGCTGCCAACGCGAGGGGTGTGTTCTTTGACTTCTTTCCACAAGGTTGGTAGCGAAAAGACATAATGCTAGCAAGCTGTCCTTCGGAAGATCGAAACCCAAAAAGGTGAAAGCATTCGCATAGAAGAAATGGATATACAAAGATCATTACGAACGTAGACATCCAACATAGTACTTGTTTCTATGCGGTAGATCCAAATATCACTAGCTGTCACGACGAAAGACGATGTATATGCAGATCACATCCAAATGAATTGCTGCCAATGTCTAAAAGATATATACAAAGAAACCCAGGGGTATATGTGCGCCGTTTCCATCCACCAAGCCAGCAACCAGTGTGACTTGTCTAACTATTCCATCATTCGTCATGCACCACTCAATGTCTGGCGTGGTGCCTTGTGAGCCTCTGCCTGTGCTCCCTAATGTGTCTTGCCATGCGTCCCTTTGCGGCAGGAGGAGCAGCAGGAGGAGCGGGCGTCGGTGCCGCAGGGGCGGGAGCGGGAGCAGTGACGGTATGATAGATCGTCTGAACTACTGTGCGAATAGCTTCGACAGTGTCTGTGACGACGGGACCAGCTGGGTCGGCTGGAGGTGCCTTTTCAACGTTGGTGGGTGCTGGTGCAGGCACTTCGGGCGCAGCAGGTGCTTGGGATACAGTGGGCACTGGAGCAGGTACTCCGGGTGCAGCGTATGACTGGGATGCGGCAGGTACATCGGACGGTTGAGCGACGCTTTGCGCTGTGCTAGGAGCGGCGGCCGCGCCACTCGAGTTTTGAACTGCCGTGCTAGTGCCCTCAGGAAGCGAGGCAGAGGGTGTCGTCGATGGTTCAGGTTTGTTGCCGCTATCTGCGCCACCAGAGGGCCATTGGAAACCAGACATGGGGCCGGTCGGAGCTGGAGCTGGAGCTGGAGCATTGATCTGCGTGGTTGGTGCGGCGATGGGGCTTGGGGTCTCGGCGGGTACGCTGGGGGAGGCATCGTCGGCAGGAGGTGATGCGACTGGGGCGTTGGAGGAGAGGGTCTCGCTCGTCGGGATTGGTACGAAGATGCCGGACACAGAGGCGGTGATGAGCGGAGGAACTGCAGGGTATTCGGATGGCTCGGGAAGGCCAGAGGGCACAGCAGGTGTCTCCGATGGGACAGGCGCAGAACCATAGGCAGCACTGCTCTGCTCAGGCACCGAAGAGGGCTGAGGAACAGCGGCGTAACCATTATCTTGGTACACCTTCAAGGAGTTGATCGTCCAGTACGCCTCTGTGAAAGCCTCGGGGTTGTTCTTGACCCATTCTTCGCATGTGTCTGCCTTCTTGCTGCAGGAGCTCTTGTTCCAAACACTGCTGCTGCCCGCCCATTGTCCACAGAACGTAGTGTCGAATACGATCTGCTGCTGCTTGAATGTGCTCTCGATGTCGCAGGCGCCGGCGAACTTGGCAGCTGGCTTGCCCCAGCCGCTTGGGTCTGGGCTGTCACCGAGGACGTCTTCCGGGATGGAGTCGCGAGGAAAGAAGTAAACGCTGATGGCATCGGCGGTCCATTGTGTCGCGTAGACACCGCCACCACCCTCGTTCAAGCCTGCACCGTAGCTCTTGGTCGATGGGTGTTCGATGGAGCATCCGGCGTTCTTCGACTGATCCTCGGCAGCGACATCACAGTTTCCTGTGGTCACTGAGCCAGCGAACTGGGTGGTGTCTTCACCAATCTGGCAGCCGGGGCCAGTGTGGAGGGTCATGCCGTTGTTCGTCTGGTCGTTTACGCCTTCGATGATGTCGATCTCGCCATTCTTTGGCCAGTTGGGGCCAGTCGTCCAGAATCTATCAATGTGTAAGCAACATGACTTTCGATGGATGAAAGTCTACTTACGCTGGCCATGTACCACAGCCGAATGGCATATGGGCAACATCCAGCACAATCAGCCCACTGTCGTAGGTCTTCTTGCTCTGGATACGGACACTGGGCCTTCCCTCAGGGGTCTGGTTCTGTGTGTCCACGCCCCAGGAAATCGCTGAAGAAGACGAGTTGATGAGGTTCGTCTGCCTCGCCGTAGCCTCGTCAACGTACTTGACGAAGCCCTCTGTCGGATCGGCATCAGTGAAGAAGTCAAAGGCCCCGTAAAAGTCGGTCATGTAGTCATCTTGGAGAGTATAGCCAGCTATGCTCAGTTGGAAAAAGGCCGCAGCCGAAGTGAGTGTGGAGAAACGCATCGTCGAGACGCTGAAAGATAAGAATAGTAATGAGTGACTGCGTACTAGACGCGTGAAGAAAAAAGGCACAAGAACGGAAAAGACGACAGTATAGTTTGGCGATGTAACGAGGCACCAGATGGTCGGAAAGGGACGGCCTGCCTATATACGCAGGCCTAAAACGGAGGCGTGGCAACGACCCTGACATAGCAGCCACCGATTCGCCCCAACGGCTTCGTCTAGAGGATAGACGAGCGCGGGAGAGTGTACATCTCCCGTTAGGCACATCGGGCTCCGTTTCAACAAGAGGGGAGTTATAGACGGACCGAGTTTATCTCCGGTTAGCAACATTGAGGGGGACCTGCAGGAACCAGTCAGGTACACAAGATGGGGGTTCAATAGCGCTGAGCAAGGCTGCCCGGATGTTTAACCAAACGTGCACCGTTTCATGAGAAATAGGACGGATGGTCCGTTGGTGAACGGGGAGAGGCGCTTGAAACAGCGAGAAGCGCACATCCCGGTGGATACGTGGCGGGGCCTACGGTTATTATCGATTGCCTGAGGCATTTGCCATGCTTATCAGCATGTGATTCGTCGTCGACGCGTTGAAACGTGAGGTGATCGGGGGTTGGGATGCAGGAGAGCGACTGCTGGCCAATGCCACGCGCCGGATTTAGCGCTTCTGGAAGCGAGCGCGGTCAGTGCTGGCGCTCCACCCCCCTGAAACCAACCGTTCAACCAATGAATCGGAAAGTCGATCTACACAACTCGAGTACAAATAAGTGCTTTTTGCAGGTTGGTGTATTGTCGTCGCGATGGCTGGGACATACCAACTTACATGCAACAGAGAATACAGAAGAGATTATAGTGGGTGAGATCGTTGATCATCTTGATAACTAAACAAGGCTCATGTTTACTATCTGGCTCACGCAACAGTGCATCTGGGCGCAGAGATCCAGCCCAAGGATAGATGATTACTTCATTCATATCTAGCATTACGTGTCTTCATTAACGAGACGGCACATCTACTGCATCGACTCGACAACAATGGCAGAGGCGCCACCACCACCGTTGCAGATGCCGGCACAGCCAATCTTGCCCTTCTTCTCCCTTAGCACACCGAGCAGTGTAG